CAAATGTAAAACATTTATATGCCAAAAAGGCCTGTTTGTTACATTTCAGGATGAAAATTTGTTCACGATAGTTATTTGACATAAAAATGAAGTGGATTAAATTTAACCCATATGGGCCAATGCATAGAGGATTTCTAATAAAGACTAAGGCTTTCAGAAAGACGTTTAATTTTTAATATTTTACGATGAAAATTGGGCCATTGTAGCAATTTAACAAAAAAAATTAACAGTGGGGAATTTGGATCACATAGGTGCATTTTTTAAACCCTGACAAGTAAGGAGTTATCATGAAAAGCATACCCTTGAACGGAGAAAAAACTAAAAAATGGTGAAATCATTAGGAAATACGTAAATTAAGTTTAAGATGTTTTGACCATCCAACGGGCAGTAGGCCAGTCTATGCATTTATTGAATTCACAATTACGACTTTGAAAACATTTTTTTGAATATAAATACAATGCATATTTAATTACAAATCTCTTGTATTAATTTTTGTTAGGTTAAGCTTAAAAGTGAACTGAATCGACTAATCCTTCGGCTACAATTAAAAAACATCTAAGAAGACATCTATTCCCTAACACTTCCGACGTTTTGTTGCAATCAATACGTGCGCTTTCCTGTGCTACGCTTAATGTATCGATGCATAGATGTAAAGAATACATAAAGAATAAAAAATTCATCAAATTTTCGAAACGGTATATATAGTGGCACGTTCGTCCGTGTCGCGTTTAAATAAAAAGCAACTAAATTGGTTGGTAGTTGTCTAGTTGTAAAAGAGAGCTCCTTGCTTTATGATATTTCCATTAACTGTGCTCCTTAAGCCACTTGTGATGTAAAGGGATATTAAGCTTGCTTGGATGAAGGACTTGAGACAAGATTACATTTCAATTCAAAACCTCTTTTTCAATCGATTTAAGCTAATCTGCCCGTTTGTCCACCTTGTTCTCTTACGTTTACTCTATAGACTGCCAATTTTGAAACATTTTGATGAAGTTTAGTATAAAGAAGTGTTTTGATCCAAACAAGAATGCTGTTGGATCGGCCAATTTTTCACTACCCATACAACACCTAATTTCGAAAAGTCGTTACTTGAATATCTATAGTCCTCTTATATTATCCTTTAAATATTCAAAAATACTTTGCTTAACATTGTACATAACTTGTACATTTTCATAAGACAATTTTGAGGAACGCATTTTTGAACGAGTCGCATAATTCGTTGCTATATTGAGAATGTAAAATTAAAAAAGAAAAAAGTCAAATTTTATGGAATACCATGAAGGATTCTGTAAACGCATGAAGTGCGCGTCAAAGTCTACGTATATGATTTGGAACACATGAAGCCACATGTGAGTAAGTTATTTTCCAAAACCGCGTAATATTTATTAGCAGAAAAGGCGGTTTCAAGCGCGAATTCATTACTAGCAATATTAGACATGTCAATGTTTGGAACGTATAAAGATACGAAGAGATACAAATAAAAATCAATATTTATGTAATGTATTATGTATTATGTATTACGTAACAAAGTTCAGCTTGATTTTAGTTAGTTAACTCTTTAAAATTTAACAAATGATATTTCCACAGTTATCAAAAACTCATTGAACGGAAATAATTAAGAAAAACATTCACGTCGGCCTCTTCTTTTAGGTATTCCACAAGTAGTCCCATTTAAAAAGCTAAACAGCCTCGTCGAGTTTGGTCATGAACTTTGCTGGATGCTAAAATGAATTGAAAATTCTAGTGTGTTTGGCCAAAGATCTTTGAAAACTTTGTATTTGTGTGACGCTAAGGAGTTTTGATGATTTTCGTTTTCATCGTTTAATTGCTTAATTTACCAATGCGCGAAATTTTCCTATATACTACAGCTAGATACTCAGTTCTTTTTTTTTTTTTTTTTTTCTATTCCGTTATCTGTCTTTAAGTTCTTTTCTCGTCCAACGTTTTTAATTTGAATTTTGATTCTTTTTTATTACCTGCGATGCCTTCTCTTTACTCTGTATGCGGTTAAAGTGTTAATGAGTTCACTCCGTTTGTTCACCTTACTCTGTAAACTTTACCCCTACAGATCTTTTGCTTAGTTTTAGCGAATTGGCTTTTGTATAATATCGTTAAATCTTCATAGTGTTTTGAAAGTTAGCTGTATTTTGTTTGTTAACTTTGATCCTAAAGGTTCTTAATTTTTTCTACTCACGATATCATTGCTTTCATTCTTTCACTTGGCTGTTATCTGCATTTAATTGTGCACACTTGTATATCTGTTTAATGAAACTCATAACAGTGCACATATATCTGGGTATTGCTTTGTTTTTCTCTTTACTGATACTATTCCGTGCACGATCTCTATTTCTTCCTTCATGTTGTTTTTATTTTATTATTGAGATGGATTGTTTGTTGTTCGCATGTTTTCCTGAAATAGGTGCGTGTTTTTAATTGCACATATGTGCGCTATATGACCCATTCAAATTTATTGGTGTGACAGGCGGGATCAGGGTTTCAAGTGTTAGGGATTTCTACAGATTATGAAGTATTTCCAAATGAAAGAAGAACTCTCAACATTGCTTAATAAATTTGGGAGATGCAAGATGATGTTTACCTAGATCGCTATGCTTCGTTTCTAGTTCGAAAAAATTTGGAACGTAGCGTGGTCCAGCATCTTTCTCCACCTATTTCATTTCAGTCTCTTGCCATTGTCTCTGTGATACCGCCGTTCACGGCGATTGTTGACCTCTCATAGTCTAATGCTCTCTCCTCCCAAACAAATGTCTACTGCTCTATCCCTTCCCAAGCAAAATAGAAAAGCAGTCTTTATCGCGAATAATGCTAGTTAGCGGGGTAGTTTATTTTAAGTCAACGATACTGCTGCTGCAAAGATATCTCCTTTTGTTGGCTATCAAATCATTTAGTAAAAAAGAACCTTGACCCATGTTGAGCTCTGCACAAGTAATGTTATGCCGCTGCTACACCTTAGACTTTAAAAAGTTTGTTGACGTATACGTATCAAGGTCCATTAGCCTGGGTTATATCTTTAACGTGTTGAATTAGTCGAATCCCTTTTGCTTTTCCTTCTTTTCGAGTATATGATTGAATATCATATTCAATTCAATCAATTTTTGACCCTTTCCGAAGGCACTTTTTTATATTCATCATTGGAGGATGAGGGATATATTCGTTTTGTCAAAACGTTTGCAATGCCCAGAAGGAAGCATCAGAGACCTCACAAAGTATGTATATTCTTGATCAGCATCAAATCCTAAATCGTTTACAACGCGTATAAAGTATACAAAAAAATAAATTATACCAAATTTGGAATGCACCTAAACAAGTCCGCCTGTCCGTCTGTTCACCTGTCGGTATACGCAACTGTGTAGTATTTGTGGTAAAAATTCTCCCGTTGGCGAAAAAGAAGATGTGCAAGAAGAAAGAAGATTTGCATCAACAAATTTGACCCTAAACCACTCATAGAACACCCATGCAATGCCCACAAGCGTACGCGACAAAAAACTTTTACTTTGAGAACATAAAAAATTAGCTGCGTCCACTCCTTATTATAGAGCATGAAAATTGTTTTGCTTTTCTTGTCTTCTTTAGAATATGGGTGTAACGTGGGTATAAAGATTCGGTTACGATCGAATATAATTTACTTAATTGTTATAAACAAAATCCTTTCAGTTAACTTATCGAAAATATCCTACACATTTCTCCAGACAATGTTGTTCTAATGAAAGGGCCTTACCCCTTAAGCTTTATAAATTTGGCAAACGTCATTCTAGTTCTTTTGCTTCATTGTTAGAACAATAATCGGAGAGCCCTTCAAAACAGACGATGGCCTTTTCGCTTGGAAATGTTTGTTATAAAATAATTTCTTGTGTCGGGAATGGACGAAAATCAAGATATGAACCCGTAACTCCTCCTGAAAAGTTTTAGAATTACTTTTACCGCTAATTCAGTTAAATTGCTTCTCCGTTAGTTAAAGAGCTTAGAAGCTAAAACCGAATTCAGGATCATCGTGGTCGCCTCATACATGTGGATCACAAATCAACAAAAAGCAAAGATTTTTCAAAGAGTTTCAGAATTTAACTTTCACTTTTAATGAGGATCTGATCTGTTCATGCAATGGGGTATAGATGGCTTCAGGCGATGGAAAATATGAAAGTTTTTAATTGTCGTTTTACGCAAAAGACTATCTAGGAGATAATAATTAAGTTCTTCATCACTAGCATCAGCTTTCCTAGGATCGATGCTTTAAAAACTGATTTGTCTAATAACACTTGTTGAATCTTTACGCAATTGCAGTATGATTTTGCAGTATGGTTACTTTATAACGCATTTCCATTCTTCATACCTTATACTACTTGTGACACAAGTAGATATTAAGTCTGTGCCGACGTATGCAGTACTAAGAGGGACTTGAAATAAGTACAACTTTTACTGTACCGATCGATTCAAAGGCAGTTTCTGAATCTATCTAAACTTGTCTGTCCATCCTTCCACAGCGCATTTGGTTTTCGTGTTTTCAATGTACAGGTCGCAATTTTCGCCATATATTGACGAAATTTGATACACCGGCACGTTTCGGCCCGAGATGAATGCTATTGAAGATTGATCGATTACTTCGTGCGTCGTGGGATATTTGCTGGGGGGGAGCCAGGTCCCATTATAAGCTTTTACACTTGATTTCAACCTAAAGTTAAGAGTTTTAGTCAATCATTTAACATTACGGTAAGTACAAGTCTTTCAAAACTATCATTTGATATTTACGTGTCTACCTCGAGGCATATAATTTGAAAAAATATTAAAAAAATTATTTCGAAAAATAAATTTCTTGGTGATTTGCTATAAATCAAAATATAACCCACAAATAAACGGGCGTTGCCGCTTGACGATATCAAAATTAAAATTTACTCAATTTAATACATACTTATGTATGTCTTTTCTTGAAAGACTATGAACACGAAATGAAAATTTAATTTAAATGAAACAAATGTTCGGTTACTTACGGCCTGTGCATCCAATGTTGGCATTTGAAATCCATAATCCTAATAACAGTAAGGTATGTAAACAATAACTCCGCCTACTATATGCAGCAGTCAATATTGAGGATGGTAAATCCATGATATATATAGAGTGTTATATGAAACTTCATAAATATTTATCACTTAAAATTAAAAAATTTTTATTTTCCTGTTTATCTATTTTTTTTTTTTCTGTATTAACTTATCAGCCATAAAGTTTTACAGCACTGAAAACAAAGATGTGTTGTTATTAAAAAAGATATTTATAAGAAAATATTTTTTAAAAATTTTCTTATTATATTTAAATGTCTTAAAAATTCACTTTAACTAAATATTTATATTTTTTTTAATGATTTAATCTCATTAAAATTAATTTAATAAAAAAAAAACATGTTTTGCACACACTGTCAGCATTAAATTTTTTAATTCAGTCTTTATCGTTTGAGTTTCATTTTAAAACTATTTTAGTATGCATTTCAATCATTTAAGAAAACAAAAGAAATTTCATTTAGTGTTGTTGTGATGTTGTTGTTGTTGTTGTTGTTGTTGTTGTTGTTCTCTTTTACTGTTGATATATGTTTTCGTTATTTTAAACATGCTTTAGTTTTCTCTTCTGAAGATTAAAAAAATTTTGTTTTTTTTCCATTTTCTTTTTATATGTATATATATATAAAATATATTTTATCAATTTTTTTTTGTTTTTGTTAAATTTTTTTTTTATAATTGTAGGATAAAAACAATAAGTATTTAAGAGCCGTATTATGATGGTAGCAGCAATTGTCGTACCAGTAGCTATGCTTTTCTGTTGGTGGTGGTGCTCTTGTAACGTTGAGGTTAATAATAATAATAATAAAAAAACAATATCATTATTAAATTTATTTTTTATATAATATTTGTTTACTTTAAAAAATTTATCTATAACGAGAAGAAGGAGAAGAGGGAAAAGAAGAATAAATGAATATAAATAAAAAAGTCAACGAAATATTAATTAAAAATGAATAAATTTATTTATTACAGTCGGTAAATCAATTAGAATACGCATTGCGATATAAACACATTCGCGTTGTCAATATATTGTTATTTGCAATTAATATTAATAATCATAATAACATTAAATTAAAAGTTTTTGAACTTTTAGTTAATTTATGACTTTTGCCTGCAGTCTCTGCAGGATAAGCAATTTATTCACTGTTTTATAGCCGTTAATCTTGGCGTGAGTTGATTCTAAAGCTAACCGTTTGTAAGAAGCCGAAATATCTACCGCTAAATAGTTTATCATTTTCAATAGTGAACGTATGTAATAATCGCGATGCCGCTGAGATTCGCTTTAGCATTGCAATCGTCTTTGACCTCATGGCTGCACATTTGGAATCAGCTGATGGCGCGATGAAAACTTAATGCATTAATGTGAAATTTGCTTAAGGTTAGTTAAGCTCATTTGAAAGAGATTTGAAATTTCTTTTCCACGTATCATATGCAATAGAAATACATTCTCTGCATTTTTTTAATAAAACTCAAATTTAAATACAAATTTTCATAACCTAAATATTCAACATTTTTTTTAATATAACCAAGCACTCAGGGGATGTGTCTTATTCGTCTAAGGCAGTTGGCTGTTAGTAGAAAGAGGGAAAAGAGAAAGAAACAGGAAGGTGGTGGCCGTAGGCTAATGGGTGTGTGCCTAATCGGTAAGCTTTGTACTTTTGCTAAGTGAACACTCACGGCCAAGAAAACTGTACCGCACTTGAGATTTGAACTCGCGAACATTGGCTTGGTAACCGCGGTTTTTATCTAGTCTAGGATAACTATTACTAACTGTGCTCGTTTGTCCCTTGTCGAGTAGTTTACGAATGCGGCTAACACTTCGTAACGAGGCAACGGGCCATTTTCACACTTTTTTTAACCTCTGTTGATCGCTGGCCTGATGGCTGTATATACCATTACTATTTATGGTACTTTGCCTCTTATCAGATAGCTTACGATAAGATCTTCGCGGCCGAAACTTCGCAGTTTCGAGTCAAAATAACCTGTGAGTCATTTCTGCACCACATAGCTATCGAGCAAATCTTCAACTTTTGTGACGTGGTCAGAATCAGAGGGAGCCAGGCGTAGGCGTGCAAAGGAAGTGCACAACCCTAGTTGAAGTTCATTTCCTTGGTTGCTTCTATTGCATGCGGATCGCCGTAGAAGATCTTTTTTTGCTTGTAATGTTCCTAACTTCACTTGCTCTCCACTCTCAAATAATTCTATGCTATATTTACTACTTGATATAAAGAGATCATATTTTTCAAGCGTCTCATTAAGCTTGGGTTAAGCTGAGTTTGATAGCCTTGACATGGAACACTTTTGCTAGACTTTAGAAGATTTTTAACCAATCAACTAACCAACTGCAACACATATAATTTATTTGTACACCTAACACTGTCTGGCATTGCTTGCTGTAGAGGCTACATTATCGAATTGCATTGAATGTTTTAATAACGATTAATTTAATTTTAGTAGTTTAAAAAATGTATTCTCTTACAGTTTTTTGTACGACAATTTTCGATTTACTTTTCAATATTTTTATTTCAATGAAATTAATTTGCTTGGACCAAAAATGTCAGAATTACTTATTAGAATTAATTATGATCGCATGCAAGCATAAAATTTTGCCATTCCATTGCAGAGCTGAGTGATATGAAATGAAGACTTCGTAAGATAAAAATGAAATAATTGCGATCGTTGAGTGGCTCTGAATAGTTGTAGCCATGTTTTTTAGAATCTAAGAAGTCGTAGAGTGCGCATGCATCACCAGGTTAACATGACTATTAGGTCTATACATAGATCATCCATTAATTCCAGACCGCGATTTTCGTATATTTATCTGAGACGATTTGTCTTTAAGTTGCGCCGCGAAGCAATTACAAGTTTTCTCCTTGTTCGTAAACCATTTTTTTTCTATGTGTTAGCTTTGTTTCGCCAGCATCTTAAAGATTTTCTTTATCTCAATTAAAACAATTTGTCTCAATTACTATCGCAAATAATTAAGTAGCGTGTGTTGTTTTGGAAACAACACAGCGGGGAAACTTTTCTTTTTCTAATAATTTCAAACGAATTGCCATTGACGTATTGCATTGCCATTAGCAAGTTACGAAATAAGATGACAATTTCGTCATGGCGTTGGCCTTACTGAACACCCGGAAAAGTGATCTATACTTTCCGCATTGATTTTACTGCTAACTTGGGACTTTTGCCAATTCACATTTTGTTTTCAATATTAACTAAGGGAAGCGGCGAACATGGGTTTGACCGGCCTATTGACCGCACCCTTATTGAAGATAAACTTCCTCCTGGTAATATCTTCGGGCTGTTTTGGTAATTTCGCCTTTGAACATTTCAATCGTCTTAAATAACAATTACGCGAGTTATTGAAACTAAATCACTTCATATATTTATAGTGTAATGAAATTTCGCTTGGGTTAGTAAACACATTTGTCTGAACTTCCTGTGACGAACGTGACTTTATGTTTATGTATTAGTTTATGCATTTTTTAATTTTAATTTTTTTTTGTATTTTTCATTTTTCAGAAAGCCATTTAGTCAAAGACATAAATTTCAATGAACTTTTTATGGCGGTGTGTTATATGTTTGGCTCTGGTTCTGCTGATTTCCAAAAGTACACTTAAAAAATTAATGCAAATTTATTTTAATTGAAGCTGTCACGAAAATATTTCAAGTATTTATTATTCTTAATTTCACAGGCGAAAAAGAAGACATTTTATGTCCGCGAGTTTTCTCATGAAAGAAAAAAAAAAACCGGTGAATACTTATGTCGCGTAATTACTAAGATGTTTACATCTTAAATAAATTTACTGGAAATGAGAACGTAATAGTAATCTTAGACGTAGTATATATAAATAAGGTGATAGATATACACTTGGCTTGCGCCGAACACAGAAGTAGCTCGTATCTTAGTTAACGAACATATTTTTCATGCTTTCCGGCTTTTTTTTAATTTTCCTGAATTTTGAAAATTGAAACAAACAGACTGCACTTTGTCATCTAGTGATGGTCAGAAGTGTATGTATTTTAACACATCATGAGGTATGTCTCGTGACTGAACGCTGGTATTGTCCAGAAATCATACGCGTCTGTCAACAGTGTTGTTGCGTCCGACGTGTTATACAACGTAATGTTTGTTTGGCTGCAAACAAAATGCTGGAATTATTTAATACGTCCTTAGCTCGTTCAACGATAACTATGATAGCTTAATCATGATGATTCACACGTAAACTCGAATTTCATATTGCTGCACAGTTTAGAGTTGCGTTTCGGAGGGCATTTCACTATCAAGTATATGTAAGTTTTTGTTTTTATTACGTTGCGTAATCTTTTAACAAAAAGGTAATACGATCCCTATATTTTTTTAGCGCCACCGAGAATTAATTTATTTACATTTCGATGTTAATAACAGCAAGTAAGAAAATTGTATTCGGCAGTCACAGACTTTTTTATACCCATCACGTTTATCCTAAAAAAGACTAAATTAAAACAAAAAGAATTCAGCTTTCATGCGCTGTTATGTTAAATGGGCGCGGTCAATTTTTTCTATTTCCAGAATAAAAATGGACATTTGTGTATGTGTTGTGCTTTGTGAGTAACAAGCGAAATGTGCTGACAGTTTTTGTAGGCCTGTTCTTTGATCGTTTTTGCAAATGGGAGAAGTTTCACCACAGATGCTGCATAGTTGGAAAGACGGGCAGATGGATGCTTCAATAGGTTCCGAATTTGAAACTGGCCACGAATTTATGTACTTTAAGGAGTTTTTGAAGCATGCTTCTGCGCCTTATAAAGTTATTGAAAAAAACACGAAATTTTGATACAATATAATATCTTTCAAAGAATAGGCGTTCAATTTTTTGTACATTGATATGCTACAGTTTATGAGTAATGAGCAAAATAACAAAATCTCATTCCTTTTGAAAAACAAAGGTGTTCTCAGTTTAGGTGCTGTGCCTGTTTTTCGACCGATCTGGCTCATTTTGAATACCAACCTGAGTGCAAGACCTTCCAATCTTTCTGTCAAATTTGAAGGGGATAGTCTTATTTTGGCGGCCACGGGAATATTCACAAAAGACATCATACAGACGCACCAAGGGACAACTGGATAGACGGGCATGTTTAAATGTACATACTTCGGTGATGGGTATAAAAACATATGAGAATGTTTTACATTTAATCAAAA